ATTATTTGTTTGAATTTCCATCTCCATTTATCTACAACGTCGTGTTTACATAAACATCGAATCTAAAATATAGATAATCTATAACATATACATAGACATAATTTATTATGAACATACAATTTCAATGGTATATGACAATTATGTTTTTAAAATTTAAGGCATTTTCCTTATTTCACGAAATTTTATACAATAAAATGTTAAATTGAAAACATATTTATGTTGTATGCGTATGTATCATTTTGGTGAATGTTTAATTTTTTTAAATTCTAAATATTGGATTTGTTTTATTAATTAATGTAAAAAGTTTAAACTATAAAATAATAATAATAATAATATAGCCTTTTATTCAGATCTCTTAGTACAATGAATTTTTAAAGTTATGTAAAATCTAGCATTAAAATCTAAAACTTAATAGATATGAGTAAATTTTAAGTAATATTTGTTGCTTGGTTATCTCTCCTATACCAATTGCTTATTAAAAATATTAATACCTACATCGAGAGCAAAAGTTAAAGCCAGCAACACTGTGTTAAGGTCCAATATACATGCAAATTTTGTGGCAGAATACGACAAATTGCGTTTGCTTAAAAAGTCAAGAATACCGCGCGTAATATATAACTGCATTGTTTTGGTTTTATGTCAAAATGTAAACGGACATTGGACATAGCATTTTGCAATTAAGTTTATTCTAAATAAAATGCAAATAAGTATGCAAGTATTAGGTAAAATGTGATATGCGCAATGTAGCGAACGGTTTCTTGTTTATATTTTGGGTTTGCGAGGAGGAAGATTTTATCTATATATTAATACGTGAAGCAAAAACTTTGTATCCCTTTTTACGAAAATTGCGCGGACGGAGGAGTATGAAATTTTGCACACTTATAGAGAATATAGAGAAGAAGTGCACAATGCTAATATTTTTTCAAAATAATGCATAAAAGATACATTAAATCAATAAAGAAAACATTACACACACTTCATACCATGTATTTGACGCACACACGCATGCATACTATTTATTGTCAAACTTTTGTTCTTGGCGTCTGTTGTCAAATTGAGAATAGATTAAATATTGTTGTTAATATTTTTTATAGTATAGCCTTGGCGAAATTTGTGATTATAGAAGTATAAAATACAATCATAATAGTGTACAAACTTACAATTCCAATTAATTATAGTCGAATTTCGACTACTGCGGGACCTCTAGTAATTAAAAAAATAAGATGCACATCTCGCAGTTGATAATTTATTGACAACCATATAGATAAAACAAAATTAAAAATCATAAAAATATTTATAATACGACAATTGTTGCTTTGCAATTAAACTTTTTACTGGCGTTCCGAACATGCCCCCGGATGTTGAAAGGTGTTTTTGGAACGAAGTTCCTTATCGCGCGTTGTGAAAGGGGGCTAGACGGAAAAAATTCTTACGAAAAGTTGTCACGACACTTTTTAGATCCGTCATTCTGACCAATCAACGTGTAGGCGCTTATCGCGTGACATTGCTCGTATCCGATTGGTCCGCGTAATGAGTACAGTTTCTCGAGATAGCGTTTCAACAATAGTAATTTAGTNCGTTCGTGCTGCGATAGACGACTGGCCGCGCAGATTGAAGGCCTGTATTCAAAATCACGGAGGTCATTTTGAATAAACTTTAGTGTCATAAGAATCTATGTTTTGTTAAGTTCATTTTGGTATATGAATGGTTACATAATGAATAAACTTGTTTCAATTATTTTACATTAAACATGTGACAGAATTTATGACCTGACTGTTATAATATGAATATAATATGATAATATGACTGTTGTTGCTTTGCAATTAAACTTTTTACTGGCGTTCCGAACATGCCCCCGGATGTTGAAAAGTATTTTTAACTTTTTACTGATGGTCTATGTACTTCTACCACTTAATACATTTATTGATTTATTTTTGTTTTTTAATATGTTACCTCGTTGTGTTCTGACTTTCGTTTAAAATTTGGTTCTTATCATGGTATAATGTTTCAACTTAATAAAAAAGGTTTGCTAAACTCAGATAATGATAGGTCGGTCTGATGCTGGTGTGCACGTCATTCCGCAGACGCCGGCGATACATACACATCACTCCACAGACGCCGCGCCGCCGCGCCGGCGGGAGATCAACAACGCAGTACCAATTTTGTCGCTACTATCAGACATTGCTGAGCTGGTAACCTTTTCCAAGACTCGTAATATTTTTTTTAATGTTTGTATTTTATGTTTGGAATAAATATTTATTATTCTTTTACTATATTTATTTAAAATCTTATTACATAATTATACAACATTCTATTTTTATTTATTTATTTATTTATTAAACATACATTTTTTTTAAAACAGTAGATAAAAATAGATTTCCGCTGATGGCGGTGTCTACGACACAAGCCACCACTGTTAAATGCTTATTATAATTAGTATTATTATTATTATTAATAATACCTAATGAGGCGAGAGCTCACCAGTCCGCTTCAGAAAAAAAAAACATCACTTCCCTGTGCAGTAGCTAAATAAATAAAGGGAAAATTTTATTTTAGACCATCGACACCCTCCACGAAAAACGAGGTTACAAATGAATTGTAATGACTTTAAATTAGTTCCCGCCAAAATTGTCTCAATTGTGTTCTGCTCCCAATAACAAATCCGTAACAAAGTAACCACTTACAAAGCCTTTTGGCGGGAACCTGATGAGATAAAGTGTTTGAATTGATTTGTTAGGTCAATTCAGTGTTTCTTTGGATTTAAACTTGTAAAAATGGTAGCTCATTGTTGGTTCAGCATCCGTGAAAATATGGAAATATTAAATGAAATCACTCGACGTGGCTTCCCAAGTTCCTCCAAATAGCCCACTATTCATTTAATTACATCCCAATGGATTGCAACTTCAAACAAACTAACTTAATTCCATTTCAGGTATTCTAGAGTATGTAACATATTTATATAATAAATGAATATTTTTCTCGACTAGATACTGTCAACAATGGGACCGAAAGAAGCCAATTGCCACACTGAAAGAGAAGTAGAACATTAAAAGAACTCACGCTAGATAGGTGGACTTATGTCTTATACACATTATAATAGAAAAAATTAACAACAATAAAAAAATTTACTGGTGGTAGGACCGCGCGGGTAGGTACCACCACCCTGCCTATGTCTGCCGTGAAGCAGTAATGCGTTTCGGTTTGAAGGGTGGGGCAGCCGTTGTAACTATACTGAGAACTTAGAACTTATATCTCAAGGTGGATGGCACATTTACGTTGTAGATGTCTATGGGCTCCAGTAATCACTTAACACCAGGTGGGCTGTGAGCTCGTTCACCCATCTCAGCAAGAAAAAAAATTGACTTCGAAGAAATTAAATAAGATTATTATTAATGCTGAAGTCAATTAAAAATTCATTGTTAAGTATAACTTAAAAACAAATCGGATCTTGATCAAATTAATGGGCACACAATAACCAACAGTCAATCAAAATCGTCAAAATAGTTTTACTTAAAATTGTTCTGAGGCACGTTCATAAAAAATACAGTCGAATTTAGAATCTTTTCCTTTTATCGAAGTAGAATTATCGATCGGTAAAAAACAAAAATATCATATTCATTTTTCATTACTTTATTAAACATAATTATTTATTTACACAAATAACGGATATGTTATTAAATGTAATCAGAGTATTTTAGTTTTATCAAAAGATTATTATTACAAACTAGAATTACATTACTAAACTAGACTAAAACTAGAAATAAAAAGTAAGTATGTACCCATTGAAACAAAAAAACAGCGCATTGGGTAGGATTTTTATAGCATAATTTTGAAATGAGATTTCTTATTAGAATGCGCCGTCTTTTTCTTTTGTTTTTAAAATACGACAATTATGTTAACTAGAAAAAAATGGATGTTCTCTTTTACATAATAGCTATAGATTATCTAGAATTGTGACATTTTAATGTATTCTATTCCTGAGGTGTTCATTTTTTGTTAAAATAAAAAATTGCTATAACTAACCTCCAAAAAAAATCTTCAAATAAAATGTACTGTTTCACATTTTGATGCTGAAATTAATTTTAAAACACGAATATACATCCATTATTATTTTTTTCGTTAATTTCCAGCAACTTAAGGATACTTTTGACGATTTTTTTTTTGTCTCTATTTCCCTTTTTAAATTATTTATTACAAAGATTCACCCGTAAGTTAATCTGCCATTATAACATCTGTTTGTTACTTATAAAATATTACATAGTAAACTGAGTTAAAATTTAATACATTTACAAATAGAACGGAATTGTTCGGGAACATATTTTTGAAATCATTATTAGCTCGTGATCAAATTTATTTCTTGATATTTCCTCAAAGTATTTTTATTCATATATTCAAGATATTGTATCATAAATTCAAACTTGGTTATGCTCAATATATTTTCTTCAATTACCTCAATATAGTACTGTCAGCTGTGAGCACGTTCATACGAATTATGGAGGTTAGAGGTAAGAAAAATCAACTGTGTATATAGAAAGTGTCCGTTGAAATTAGGGTGGCGCCACATTAGCATTAGGGTAAATTTTAAAGGAAGTGCCAATTTAAATTGTTGAAATTTTCAATAATTAACTGGTTTAGTCAAAATGATCATATCTTTTTTACTCGGCATACTTCAGTTCATCTACATATGCTTCATTCATTCATTCATACCATACCCTTTGTCTACACCAGCGAGATTGTGATAGGTTTTTGAACTATTCTTTATAGCTACATTCTATACAGCTTTTTCAACTTTACTCCCATATCAGATGATTCTCCTTACGTCTACCCTCCATAATACGAAAAACGAAGTCAAAGCCCGCAAATGTTATCAACTAGCCGCGTTTAACGAAAAAAAAAAAACAAACAAATCAATTTGCCTAATAAAATTGCGTTAAATTAATTTTGAGATTTCAATTTGAAAAATACATAATAATATTCGGTTTATTATTGATTGCGAATTAATTTTTTTTTTGTCTTGCGTTCTCAAACAAAGATGAAGTCAGGGTTGGTGCAGCAGTCGCTTGTCTTGTCCAGGTCGTGGTCGGATCTGATCCACTTCCCGTGACAGTGTGGAGCTACGAGCGCGTAGAAGCGCGTCGTGTGTCCAGAGACGCCATGGCCATTACATCTCCATTTCAAGTCACGTCTTAAAGCGGCCGACTCGCAAAGCACGCATACAGTATTGCCTGAATTAGAAAACAAAATTACCGGTTTTCTTTCTGTAGAGTCGATTTACATTTTTTTTTATTGCTTAGATAAGTGGACGAGCTCACAACCCACCTGTCGTTAAGTGGTTACTGGAGCCCATAAACATTCACAACGTAAATGCGCCACCCAACTTGAGATGTAAGTTCTAAGGTCTCGAGTATAGTTACAGCGGCTGCCCCACCCTTCAAACCGAAACGCATTACTGCTTCACGGCAGAAATAGGTACGGTGGTGGTGGTACCCACCCGCGCGGACTCACAAGAGGTCCTACCAACAGTAAAAAACATCGATTCGATTTCTCATTCCATTTCACTGTAAATGAAAAACTAAGATTTTACCACCACCCCGCCTATTTCTGCCGTGAAGCAGTAACGCGTTTCGGTTTGAAGGGTGGGGCAGCTGTTGTAACTATACTGAGACCTTACAACTTATATCTCAAGGTGGGTGGCGAATTCACGTCGTAAATGTCTATGGGCTCCAGTAACCACTTAACGCCAGGTGGGTTGTGAGCTCGTCCACTTATCTAAGCAATAAAAAAATAAATCATATAAACATTTTGAATAGCACAAACGTTTCAATCTTCCTCCAATACCGATCAACTTTGCGGTTTGCAGTTGTTACATCAACAATTTACTTTCCATACCGTTCACGTCGTACACTCAGAAAGGGTTAAATCAATGAAAATGCATCGAAAAACATACCTTCCCTCAACGCTTTGTAGTCCGAATCCGCGTGGCAGGCTTTCGAGACTTTAGTCACTTCGTATTGAGCGCAGTACCTGAAATGATTTCCGCCTTTGTACGTAGAGGAATTGAAACACAATTGCCGCACTCAATCACGGCAGAGCGGTGTTCAAACTCAATGGCTTTAAGTCAATTAAATATGTGTATAGTTTTTTTATGGTTACATAAAATATTCGAAAATAGTATTTCACACGTTGTATTAAAATAAAACGATATTTATATTTAAAAAAGGGTGCGTGTACTTATGTACGCGCGTATGAAGTTATACTGTATTTTTATTAAATTTATTGGAGTTTACTCCTTTAGAATCGATTTACATATATAGGCCCGGGGTATGAAAATTATGGGGACCAAAATCGTACTAGCATGTCACACGAAATGCGTTATGCGCCTGATTGGCTCCTGATTGCGTGATGCGTGCGCGCGCCAATCAAAATCGTACTAGCATGTCACACGAAATGCGTTATGCGCCTGATTGGCTCCTGATTGCGTGATGCGTGCGCGCGCCAATCAGGAGCCAACGCGCGGCCGCGTTATCGCAGGTGACGCCGGGCTGCTGCGCCGGCAGTCCGCCACAAAGCCTCGTACTGATCGCGCGTTTCTCTCATTATTGTATTTTCATATATTTGTTAGTCGTTTGTTTTGTGTCTCGTTAATTTGTTAATAATCTGTAGTGTATCGTGTTGTCGTAATATAGAACTATTTCTCGTATTGTTTCGTTTAATTTTTTATATCCAGTAAACTCCAGTCGTGCGTCGGAGCGGACACACACACTTTTTTTTTTCTTTTTTTTTTCATTTAAATTTTAATCAATTTGAAAAAAAATCGATTAAACAACATCCTCAAACACGCATATTGGACATCCCTTTTCTTGACATCGTATAAATTCGGTAATTCTCGGTACGGTTCGGAAAGTTCACCTGCGGCTATATTCAGACTCGCCAAGTTACGTCGGTCGTATTGTAATGAGCGATTTAGTGGCAACTTCATTCTGTTAATTTTGTGTCACGGTACGCGTGCGTCGTAAAATTTCACTCCCATTAATTTTTCTTAACGCGCCTAAAGAAGTATAACTTCCAAAAAATTTTTTTTAAGTAATACAAGTAATAAAGAAGTATAACTTAAAAAAATTTTTTTTAAGTAATACTTCTAATGTTGCGTTAAATGTTTAACGTAATAGAAAGAGACAGAGCGAGAGTGAAAGCATGGCACTCGAACGCATGCGCGGAGTAGACCTGTTACAGTAGTATAATAAAGTATTTAAAAAAGTATATGTATTTATTACAGGCCAGCGCGAGTTAGCAACGAGTAGTGTCCAATATTTTAATAAAGTATTTAAAAAAAAAAATTTCTATCTACAATCCAAAATATGTATACACAACATTTTCTATTACAAGAGCAATCTGATTTATGAATGAAAAATGAAGAAAACCACAATACTACACATCGAAAAAGAAGTTTCACTTCATTCACGTGCACCAAGTTGCACGCGCACCGTTTTTTTTATTGCTCTTGTAGGCAGACGAGCATACGACCCACCTGGTGGTGAGTGGTTACCGTCACCCATGGACTTCAGCAATGCCAGCGACAGAGCTAAGCCACGGCCTCAAATGGAATGGAAATTCTCATCTAGATAAAAAATAATTTTAACTAGCTTCTTGGCAGATTCAATTGATGCCTCAATCTGAATGGCGATCAAAAATAGACTTACTCTCTGTGCGAATTAGATTCAGGATCGTCTGGATTGCGAAGCCTCAAGTTCTTGCGGATGTCCACGGTCTCGTTCGAATGTCGACTGACCGAAAGTCCTCCCGGTAAGAGCATCGCTGTTTCATCTGTCAAAAAGCTCTTAATAGTAAAAAAAGATATAATTGAACTAAATATACCCAAATTATGTTTCAAAGTTTCTGTCGAAAAAACAACACGGACATATTCGTATTGTTTTTGGAATCTACAGTGGTTTTTACGGATGTTCCGCTATAACTACTGAACCATGCATCCGATTGACTTGAAACTTGGTATCCATGTAGAAAATACATGTACTTAATGGATAGGCTAATATTTATATGAGTGTTGGACTCCCTACACCAGTTGTGGGGGCGTTAATGATGAGAAAATGAGAATCTTTGTGGGGCTGATAAATAATAATGTTAATTTTAAATGCCCAGCGCAGCGGACGGGTACAGCTAGTTGTTAATAAATTGAAATTTTAGGTTTTTACGATAAAAAATCGAGTTCCCTCATTCGTCCGGATTCATCAAGGATTTCCGGTAATGGTTGTTGCCATGTGGCAACACTCGACTCTAGAATCCTCAGCGTTTCCGCAGCACTGCGACATATCCTCAAAGGAGGTGTAATTATACTAGTCTTATAGCGGTAAGTAGCGGTTTAAGTATAGTCTGGGCATTGATATTGTCCATGACTAAAGGAAAACGCTAAGAATCAGATAGGCTGCATGGTCTTTAATGACAATACTGACTAAAACCATAACATCTAAAATTGTTTTCTTTCTTTTATTGCTTAGATAGGTGGACGAGCTGACAGATCACCTGGTACTTAGTGGTTACTGGAGATATCTACAACGTAAATGCGCCACCCACCTTGAGATATAAGCTCTAAGCTCTCACTATAGTTACAACAGCCCCGCCCTTCAAATCGAAACGCATTACTGCTTCACGGCAGAAATAGGCAGGGTGGTGGTACCCGTGCGGACTCACAAAAGGTCCTACCACCAGTAAAATAAGGAATGTAGGAACATAATCAACGCTCATATCCATTTCATATCCATAAGCCATTTAGGAAGTCTCTTCTAATATTTTTACAACTTATTTTTAAAGTTCATTAAACTTAGAGCAGCACACCATTTAATTTTATTAGCTAAAAGTATAACAGAATTTTCCACCGTTGGCTACAACCGCGGAGAAATTGTATCTTCTTAAATTCATTCATTAAACAAATTATTACAATACAAAAACATTACAAAACTCGTAATAGAGAAAATAATATTATGATTAGAGAGCTTTAAAGCGACTGGATACGTAACGAAAGTATTAATTTTAATTTACCAAATTTCAAAGTTCTTACGATTGTGATAAAACCGATGATTTTTCTAAAGCTATCAGCTGTTTAGTTGACTTACACCATTTTTATTACGCTTTTATTAGCTTCAGACGTATGTATGTTAGTATGTAACGGAATCTTTGAACATGCTTTTGACCCCCTTCAAAACGTCGGATTAACTTAAAATTTGGTATACTTATTAGATAGGACGGATCGGATAGGACCGATGACAATACAACATTTAATAAGAAATAAAAAAATAAGAATCGAAAGCGAATGGTATGAGTGGTTATAAATATTTTATGAACAGATATGATTAGAAGGGTTATTTTGATAATATCCTGAAAAGCACCCCACGCTTTTTTACAATAAAATCATTTTTTCTTACACTATTGTTAATTCAAATTTTTAAAATTTATTTTCTATTTTTTTATTGGATTTTCTATCAAAACGTTTTTTGTTTGTTTTTTTTATAACCTATTTTTCATTTTTTAGTTGGATTTCTTTTTTTTTAATTTTTTCCCCTGTAAAATTACCTCGTAATGGTACGTCACTATCTGACGAGCATCCCTGATGTTCTTGGCAGGCCCTCCGCTGCACGAGCGAGGGGCAGTGCCGCCCTCCATGCGCTGGGGCTTGCACGATCCTACGCGTCCGCACCATGCTTCCAGACCCGCAGGTCGTGTCGCATTCCGACCACGAGCCCCAGCTTGAAACAACGCAATCGATCACTGTGAACAAGGAAACAGTAGTTTAACACATTGACTGCATTGTAGGTCACCGGTGCCCTACGCGGCGCAATGAAGTAATTATGTTTTTTACTGGTGGTAAGAGCTCTTGTGAGTCCGCACGGGTAGGTACCACCGCCTCACCTATTTCTGCCGTGAAGCAGTAATGCGTTTCGGTCTGAAGGGTAGGGCAGCCATTGTAACTATACTGTGATCCTAGAACTTATAACTCAAGGTGGGTGGCGCTGTAAGCTTGTCCACCCATCTAAGCAATAAAAAAAAATGTCGATTTCTTACTTCGATCTTCTTACTAAGGCGCTAATATCTAGTAGACTATGGGAAAGACGAATACAAAGATACTGAGAATGAATCTTATTTCTAAGAGATCTAATTGACTAGAACATACATTAACAAACAAAAGAAGGCAAAGTTAGACAATCCAGAATCCTGAGTAACAGAAATCGACATTATTACTGCAGTGCGCCGCGTAGGGCACCGGTGACCAACATGGCAGTCAGCGTGTTAAATAACTATGCTCAAACATATCTAGAACGAACTCCTCTACGCAAATTTTTTTCTAAGTGCCGTAACTCATTCCTCTTCGAACGAGGCTTAACGAGAATCTGAATAATAGCTGGTAGGTACTAGTACTGTTTTATAATTGTCAGTTTAGTTGTCCACACATGTACCTTCCAAAAATTACTAATTCACTTCACAACTAAGCACTAGTCAAAATTTTGAATGTTGGGTGCCCGCCTGGCATTAGATTCTAGGGCTCTGATGAAAAGAGTAAGTAAAATTAATTGTTTACTGTTCATTCACACGATAGACAATGTTACAAAGTTAATAATTACAAGCACTAGAAAGAGGTTGCAAAATGACCACGCACGGCAGTTCCGGTATCGGCTCTGGACGCGCATTTGCCGCTTGAGAGTTTGGCGCGCACTACTCTGGGTGCAATAGATGCGCGAGCGCGGGTATCGTGGGGTGGGTCGTCGCGTCACGGACCTGAGTCACATCGCCTTTGGCTACTGTTGCCCCACGAGACAGAACGCTGCGTTACACTGATTTGTGAACAGAAAGCGTTCTTTATTTTCTCCACCTTATTCCACTAGGTGGGGTCGGTACACCTAATTTTTTTCTTCCATTCTCTTCTATCAGCCGTCTTCTCAACACTCACTCCTCTCTCTCTCATATCGTCATTCACACACACTATCCAATTCTTCTTCGGTCGACCTCTTTCCCCTCTACCTTGCACTGCCATTTCCTTACATCTCCAAGTCACATGCATCTTCTCTCTACGCATCACGTGTCCATACCATGCTAACCGTCCGCTCATCAATTTGTTAATTACCGGGGCTATTTTCACATGATATACTCAGAAAGATGATAAAGAAAAAGCTTTATACAACCGAGCAAAACGATGCCTATGCTAAAATAATACGAGTCCCAGTCGTAAAGAATCAAAATATGTAAACACACTCATCTGCGTGCTTCGATAATCGCATATTTCACAAATTATTTCGCCTTTAAAACGATCACGAGCGATCATCAACATTTAGCAAACGATAAAGCAATTCTGGAACCTTCGCCTTCCCCTACTAAGCTATTGAATTACGTGTTAATAAATCCAAAAGCTCGTACACAAAGCTCATGAGACACCCACGAAAATTTTAATAGCGATACCGATCCATCGAATGGGCAATAACTCGAGCGTAATAGACTCTTATGTCATGTTCGAACAATCTTTATGGTCCCCTCACTGTTTACGAGGAGTCGTGTTCACGTGTTGTACCTAAATATTCTCACATACGGTGCGATAACGTCACTTATGTTATTTGCAAATTATATAACTTTTCAGGAGAAACTTTGGCAAATTCAACATCGTAATCTATATATTAATACGTGAAGCAAAAACTTTCTTTCCCTTTTTACGAAAATTGCGCGGACGGAGGAGTATGAAATTTTCCACACTTATAGAGAATATAGAGAAGAACTGCACAATGCTAATATTTTTTTAAATAAATTATAAAAGATACATTAAATGAATAAAGAAAACATTACACACACTACATACCATGTATTTGACGAACACACGCATGCATACTATTTATTGTCAAACTTTTGTTCTTGACGTCTGCTGTCAAATTGAGATTAAATATTGTTTGTCTTTGTTAATATTTTTTATAGTGTAGTCTTGGCGAAATTTGTGATTATAGAAGTATAAAATACAATCATCATAGTGTACAAACTTACAATTCCAATTAATTATAGTCGAATTTCGACTACTGCGGGACCTCTAGTATATATAGTTCTGCTAGACTAAAGAAATAAAAACGATAATATTTAAACTAACACTTTAAACTTCATCAGTAAAAGGAAACATCTCACTGATAACTATTAAAAAAAGGTATTTTGTCATACTCAGTTTAGTTTTAACAAAAATTGCATAAGTGACTTTATCAATATGCGTAAAGAAAAACCTTTATTATTTTAAACTCTTTAGTTATTAAAAAGGAATTTTCTTCAGAGTCATTCAGTGTTAGAGTGAAGTCTGTCATTCAGTAAAAAGACAGTTCAGTTTTTTTATAATTTTATAATAACCTTTATGTATGTACTGTTTAATTTTTAATATTAATTTTACAAGCGTCTTTAAATATTTTTTTTCTTATTATATCACAGAAAACACAATTAAATTTAGTATTTTATTGTTTAACTATTCATTGTGAAATATTCCACATAATTATATTTTAGATGCATCTAAAGTCCAAAAAAATTGAGTTTTTTGTTTATAAAATTTAAAACATTTTCAGAACTTTACTGGCGGTAAGACGTCTTGTGACTCCGCACGGGTAGGTACCACCACCCTGCCTATTTGGCGGCATTTACGCTGTAGTTGTCTACAGGTACCGGTAACCACTTAAAACCAGGTGGACCTTGAGTTCGTCCATGCAACCATCTAACCAATAAATAAAAACATTATTCCGAATACGATCTGTTTATAAGCTGCAATGCATATATGTTAACTAGTAAATCGTTCTCAAGGATTAATTACATCTAATCAGGTAGGCAGCGGCTTGGCTCTGCCCCTGGCATTGCTGAAGTCCATGGGCGACGGTAACCACTCACCATCAGGTGGGCCGTATGCCCGTCTGCCTACAAAGGCAAGAAAAAAAAAAAGAAACTGATACAGTTAACAAATTCAAGGATCCCGTAGAAGGTGTAAATAGACCGGTCCCTTAGCCAAAACTGGTATAAAATACTAGTCTAGACTATCTAGAGACATCGAAAAACAACATTAATTGACAAATGACCATCCGGCTATGGAATGAGCTCCCCTCCACGGTGTTTCCCGAGCGCTATGACATGTCCTTCTTCAAACGAGGCTTGTGGAGAGTATTAAACGGTAGGCCGCGGCTTGACTCTGCCCCTGGCATTGCTGACGTCCATGAGCGACGGCAACCACTCACCATCAGGTGGGCCGTATGCTAGACTGCCTATACGGAAATAAAAAAAAACTAAACTTAACATCAGTACTTGAATTCGTAGGTTCGTTGTAGTGCCCGCAATGCAACCCAAACGCAGTCGGCAGAATCAATTGATTTGAAATTGCGAGCAACGTAAACCAAAATAGCAGATGCGACCTTGATTGCTCTGTTTCATATGCCCCTTAACACCAACTCAATCTACATCTATATATTAATACGTGAAGCAAAAACTTTGTATCCCTTTTTACGAAAATTGCGCGAACGGAGGAGTATGTTTTCCACACTTATAGAGAATATAGAGAAGGAGTGCAGAATACTATTTTTTTTTTTAATTTTGTATAAAAAATACATTACTTAAATGAATAAAAAAATATTAGACAACATAATAATATTTACTCTTGGTTTATTGTCAAACTTTTGTGATTGTTTAAAGTCTGTGTTCAAATTGAGAATCTATATTATTATATTAATACGTGAAGCAAAAACTTTGTATCCCTTTTTACGAAAATTGTGCGGACGAAGGAGTATGAAATTTCTCACACTTACAGAGAATATAGAGAAGGAGTGCACGATGCTAATATTTTTTTTAAATAATGCATAAAAGATACATTAAATCAATAAAGAAAACCTTACACACACTACATACCATGTATTTGACGCACACACGCATGCTTACTATTTATTGTCAAACTTTTGTTCTTGACGTCTGTTGTCAAATTAAGATTAAATATTGTTTGTCTTTGTTAGTATTTTTTATGGTGTAGTCTTGGCGAAATTTGTGATTATAGAAGTATAAAATACAATCATTACATGTACAAACTTACAATTCCAATTAATTATAGTCGAATTTCGACTACTGCGGGACCTCTAGTACATAATTAATATTGTTTGTCTTTAATATTATTTGTCTATAAGTATAGTGTAGCCATGGTGAAATCTGTGAATATACTCGTAGGAGTATTACAGTCTTTGACAATAGAACCATAAAAATATTCAAACTTATAATTGCAAATTAATTATAGTCGAATTTCGACTACTGAGAGACCACTAGTATAAATAAAAATGCAAGCTAAAGTATTCCCGCATGCATCGTCTTTATTTATAAAGGCGACTTATTACTAAAAATGCGGCAGAACAGATTTAGCTTTAGTAGTGGAAATACATATAAATTGTACTATTTATTTTATATTTTAATCCAAACCAACTCAGCGTCAGTCGCAGTTTCCTTTTTTTTAAAAGAGCTCCTGTATCCAACCCGTAACGGTTCCAGTATTGTCGTGTCTGTACGGAAATTCATCCAAAGCTTGAATGGTAGGCATACATTTTAAAATCAACTCAATATAGCACACTACATTTTAAACATATGTATATAATATATAATATTATTATCTATTTATACGAGGATTACAGTGCTTCGCGCTCACAACGTTCCGACAGCTTTCAGCGGAGCTTAATATGTTTTCGCGCGGAGAGCTTAGCCTCAGCACTGTTCTGTTAAATCCTTACTTAGTTTGA